AACATCTGGAAGGTACATACATGAATGTGAACATCTGGAAGGTGACACCAACATCGCCATGCAGTAGCAAGGGGAAGTCACTTGACAGCCTGCAGAACGAAACCTTACGTTCTGGCATTTCCCTTTTGTCCTAAATACCAGGATTCTCACATAGCAGAGTGAGTTTCTGTTTTCAAACCATCCTCTCAGCCTTTCTACAGGGGATTAGATGCTGCTTTCCGTCCTTTCTCACGCCCAGGTTCGACTCCCCGCCAGCGTGGGGTCTGGTCCACATCAGCAGGGCAGCACCTGGGTCTACAGTGCCCCTCACTGAGCTCCCATCTGCCACACGGACCTCCTCAGGACCTTGTGTTCCAGGAACAGAGGTGGCAAACTGAATAAAATAAATCCTGTAGTACTGAAGAGGTCGTGGGTATCAGAGAAAGGGGGGCATGAGGGAATGTGCTGTTCCAGGAACGGAGATGGGGACTCAGGCACCAGGAAAGAGCCCCCTTAGCACAACAGGGACCATTGCACCTTGTGGGTCATCTGGGAGCAACAGAGACACGAGGACCCTGTAAGTCGTGCTGTTACACACACACACTCACACTTGTCTGCAGTCTGTGACCTGACATGTCTCCACCCTCCTCCAGCCTCCACGGGCACAAGCTGGGGGCACCAGCTTCAGCGGAGGTCGCAGAGTGGACAGACTCCAGGGCAAGAACCCCTGGCTCCTGCGAGAAGCCAAGAACAGCCAAGTGGGGAGACAGGCTCGAACACAGGGAGCAGGGGCAGGAATGAGGCCCAGAGCAGAGAGGAAGAGGAAACAAAGGCCGCCCAGCGCCTGCCAAACTGGAAGTATGAAGTAGTAACAAAGGGCAAAAGTGCCTGACACACTGAGCTCTTTGCGTCGGGCAATGCCAGACAGGGCACGTGCACTGCCTCCTCAGGTAGGAGGCAGCCCGTTGCTCAGTGTGCACAGCCGACGCTCACCTTTGGGGCACTTGGAGGGCACATCCCCAACTGTCCAGGTTGTGTCTCCCTGAGCCAGCCTTTCAACCCTGCCCCCACTGACTTAGCTAACCCCTTTGCTAGCCTCTGTAATTGGCTTCCTCGAACATCTTCAAAATAAAAACGTAATTCCTCACAAAGGGCAGATGCCTGATGTTTTTCTCCCATCCAAGTACTAACCAGGCCGGGCCCTGCTTAGACTCCAAGATCGAATGAGATCAGGTGCGTTCCGGGTGGTATGGCTGGAGACTGCCTGACTTAATTCTAAGTAGTGTTAAAATACGATCTTCAAGTCTGTTTCAGTGTCACAAAGCTAAAGTACAAAAAACAAACAAATAACAACAACAACAACAAAAAAAAAAACCCAAGAGATGATGGTATTATAATACAGTGAGGGACATTTTCCGGGGTTCAAATTCTACCTTAAGAACACCCCTTGATTTGTTACTTCTTTCTTTCCTCCTCTGTGCAGAGTAAAACCGGATGCTTCTGCGTACTGGTGGCATCTGTCCCTCTGTCCCCGAGCAGGAGACGCCGTCCATCGTGTGTTCCCTCCCACTGCACCGCTACACGCCAAGACAGCCCTGCCTCGGGGCCGGCTCGGCCAACACGGTCCCTAGCTGAGGCCGCGCTGCACTCAGGAGCTTCGGTGCGTCCCATCACTAAGCTTGCACTGAGAAGAAAGCACTTCGCAAATCTCCCCTGAGCACGAAGTACTTGCTTAGCTCAACCTGACACTCACTGAGCACTGCTGTCAGGTCACTGGAGGACAGAGCACAGTCCTGGTCGCGGTCCTCAGGAGCTCCATCTGCAGGGCCAGCAGTGTCTTAGACCTGTGGGCAGGAAAAATCAGCACCGGCTGGGGAGAGGGCACACTGGTGCTGAAGAAACTGGAGTAAACTTGTACTTACTTTAAAAAGTCACTCACCTAAAACATCAGATACCAACAGGTTTTACATCTAATCAAACGCAGTGACTGGAGACCTGACTTTCTAATAGTAACAAATTAAGTTCAGCAGGGATTTTAAAAGCCATTTGTGGTCATCTAAAATTTGCCTAAATACTTAGGTATTTCTTCAGATAACTATTTTTGCTTTTCCCCTAATATTTAAAGGAGGAAACCCTTAACGCCCATTTGCAATTTTCTTTTTAAATGTATTTGGTACAGGGTCTCACTACAAACATCTGACTCATGAGCCTCCTGTTTTCAGCCTCCCCAGCACTGGTATTACAGGTGTGCGCCACCATGCCTGGACTCGGTCACTGGCTCAGCTCAGTGTGCCCGGGGGAAGGGCCAGTGCAGCATGTGGTACTGGGATTGAACCCCACTTCCTGCACTTGCCTAATCAGGCTCTTAGTCAGCTGAGCTACCTTGCCGGCCCTGCAAATATTTTGGTCAAGAGAGAAACTGGGATTTTTAGTGTAATAAAATTCATCACAAGAATTAAGGGTACTGAGACTGGGCATGGTGGCACGAATCTGTAATCCCAGTGCTTGGGAGACTGAAAACAGGAGGATCACTACGAGTCTGATCTCGGTAATGAGACCCTGTACTAAGTACATTAAAAAATAAAAAAAAAATTAAGCGTACTGTATTTTATTCTATAATGATTTTTGCCAAGGTACTAAGCCTGTTCTCAATCTAAGGCTATGAATTTATACAACATAATCAAACTAATGACCAATGTATATACCATACTATAGAAAGTCAAAATCGTATGTAATATTCTATATAACTACCTGAGGGGGCCGGGGAGATGGCTCAGTAGAATAAGTGCTTCCCTGGCAAGCGCAAGGGTCTGTGTTCAATCCCCGGTTCCGCCAAAATAAACAAATACATAAAATAACTACCTGATATAAAGTGAGTGTGTCCAGAGCAACAGGCAAAGGAAAGAGGTGACATCAGCCCACACTGTTCACCCAGTGTCGGAGGCCTGGCAGGCTGGCAACAGGTTTTAAAGAACCAAACAAAAACATGATCTAGACAAGCAACAGCCACACAAAGGTACTTGTCTAGCTTCACTGGGTCAGCAGACCCTAACAAGCATAAAAATTCAATAAGCTCATTTAGCAGCCTTATAAATATTTCAGTTAACTTGTAACATTTATTTCCTGAAACATAACACAGTGAGAAAGTTTAACACTGTATAGAATACACAGGGTGGTCCCTTAGAGTAACTGAGGCCACCATAGGTCTCCAGCATCTCAAAGCTGATTAGCACCACCGCCTGGGGTAACTTGCTGGAAACTTATCTTCTCAGGCCCTACCTCTGGAGAGCTTACTCCAAATCAGGGAACTGGAGCTTCTGGCCAGGAGACTCGTGACCAGACAGGCTGGAGGGCTTGGAGACCCAAGGAGCCTCAGACTAAGGCGACTTGGAGAACATGGAGAACAAAGGTTAAATAAGAGGAGGAGCTATTTTCCTCTCCCCAAAAACAGTCCATTCTGCTAAGGCTGCTGCCCTCTAAACACTCAGAACAGATATAGATAGATAGATAGATAGATAGATAGATAGATAGATAGATAGATATCTTGCCAGTATCTTTCCCATCAGTCAATGTCAATGAAGTCACAAATTTGAAGCTCAGTGAGAATCTAACCCATGACTTCTTCCCAGAGAACTGCTCTACCTAGTACCCAGATGGCCATAAAACCTGCAACTTCCTGGAAAGGGGGTGACAGGCCCAGCCAGGTTTGTCCCCTTGGGTGAATTCACACACCACAGTAGTAAAAGGCATACAGTAACTTGGAACGTTTAGACTTCCATTATAAAACTCCTAGGTACTTAATAAAACTGTTCATATTTATTACAAGGTTACCATATGGTAGCATGTTGTCACAGTGACTCTAGGAGTTGGTTTTGTTAATTGAAAAGCACAGTACCGAGGTGAACTTAGTAACCAGTACAACACCAGTTCGATCTATATTTCAGCGGAACCAGCAACATGGGTTAGTGATGCCTGTCTCCCCTGAGCCCTCTGCTGGGGCCTGCACTCCTCAGGGGCTCGCTGTGGGCCCAGTGCTCTGCGCGGACTCCCCGAGATGCCTGCTCCGCGTGGACTCGCTGCAGGACACTGCGTGGGCTCCCTGGGGGGCGCCCTGTGGACCGGCTGTGGGGTCCCGGAGTCCGCGTGGGCTGCCTTGGGGGCGCCCTGTGGACGGGCTGTGGGGTCCCG